TATAAAAATATATATACATACGTGCATAGACATACATATATTTTTTTTGAATAAAAAAATTCCAAGAGGATAGAATCCAGGTAGAACTCAATTTTTAGGACAGAGTCAGGATATTTAATAAAACAAGCAGGCTTAAACACTAATATTCCATGCTCAGAAAAAAAAAAAAACTGGAATTTTTTTCCCCTTTTTTATCTGTTTTAATTTTGTATTTTTGGGTCTGATGAATTGATCATATTGAATTGATTCCATTTTGGAATAAATTATGACAATGGAATATTAATGTTTAAACCATTTTATTTTATATATATATGTGGCACCCTGCATTATTAGAAAAAAAAAGAAATATTCATAGAAATATGATTTAATTTTTTTTTTCGGTTTATTAACCAGTTGTTATTTTTTTTTAGACGAAGAATAATTGAGTTTTGAGAATAATTCTCTAATTGTACTTAGACGATCCTAAAGGAAAAAAAAAAAAAAAAAAAAAAAAAAAAAAAAGAAAGGAAAAAAAGAAAGAAAGATGGATGAGTAATGCAAAAGGCCGGTCATTAGCGAAAACAGGTGTCAAAAAAGGTATCTAGGTCAGCGCGCCTGACCGAATTTCAAAAGACAATGGAATTGATATTTAGAATGAAAAATAATTAAAAGAAAAAAAAGAAAAACAGACTTGGTAAAAAGTGTATGAACATATGTGCGATTGATAAAAATATCGGTCAAAAGCATCTGGCCTACTTTTTGCGTAGAAGACTCATTATCAATTTGGAGAAATGGGATTTTTTAGAACAATGGAAACGAAATATTAATCGGGGAAAAGTGTCTTTTGGGATGAGAAGGTGACCGCTGGAATTGTATACAGATTCTGACCTGTTAAAGATCAGAACCCCACGATGATGAAGTGAAGACATTTTCAATTCAGATAATTAAGATTTTTGACTATCAGGTCTGAGCAAAAACAAAAGAGTAAAAAAACAATTGTTTTTGGCTCACAGAAAGCGTCAGCAAGACGAAAAAAAAATTCTTCCTGAAGTCACATCTAATTAGCGGCGGGCTGTTTTGACAAAAACCAGGAAGGTGAGAAAGGCCAAGATTGTCATTTTTCGTGCGTGCGAAAAAAGACCAAATTGGATTTTTTTTTTTAGCAAGGTGTTCCTTCCCAGAACAAAGGACGGGATAAGCCACGCCCGATTGGAGACGTCACGAAGTACGGGAGACGCCCAACCAGAACCTCATTAGCCGAAAGCGGTCACGTGATATGCGAGAAGAGGAGAAAGGACGCTCGATCAAGACCCATTGGTCGAAAACGGTCACCTGACATACGAGAGACCGGGAGAGATGGGTATGCGCCTCCCCACCAGAGGCACTGTGAGGAAGTAGGGGTGAAAATAAGAGCGATAATGGGAAATCAGAATTAATGCGACTTTTGGAATTATCAAGAAAACCCTGACGCCGACAGACCCACCCCAGTTTGTTGCGGCGTCAATAAAAGCAGGACCCCAATCGACAGAAATCAGTTCAGCCCCGGACGGCAGCGAGAAGAACCCCAGACAACAGAACTTCAGACGAGGATGAAGAAGAAGATTGCAGGGCAAAGCAAATCAGTTCAACCTTGCTCAGTCGACAGAAAAGAGTTGCAGCCCCGGAAGAAGAAGAAGTTCAGAACCAAACCAAGCCCAAGTTGAAACAGAAATTCGACCAAACCAAATCGAAGTGAAGAAATACGTCCAACTCAAGCCGAAGAGAGAAGAAGAATCGAAGAGAGAAATCAGCCGTGAACGACTGGTAGAGATTAGCCCCAGTGTCGAAACTGAACCACACTCCGACATACAAATTTGAAGAGTAGACAATTCGAAGTTTTTAAGTTGTATGATAGGAAGCTTGGTGCCACAGTCCACAAAGCGGGTCGGGAAGTAAGAACAATTTTTATGTAACGAACATTAGATATAAAAGGTTGTTACCTTTTTTTATCAGTAATTTTTTGTCTCGTGAGTTTTTTTCTTTTACTTGTGTTTTGCCACCCCGTCGGACTCAACTTGCATACGGCCCCAATCCCTGTTTGATCCCGTCTGTCTAAGATCTAATCACAACGTGGGTAGACAGACCGGAGATCAGTACAGTTACCCTAGTAACCAGGTGTTGGAAGCGGGTTGGGAAAGGCGAGGCTGGTAATCATCTAACCAAAGGGTTGGAACGTCACGCTTGGAACAGCGAGGAGCGACCAGGAGGACGACGTCACAGTTGGCGCCGTAACAAAAGGTTTCGACCCTGGACCAGGTGTCGAGTCACACACACACACACACACACACATATATATATATATATATATATATATATATATATATATATCATCCATATACAGAATATTTAAAATATGATTCCAACGCTACATAAGAGTTCTCATATCGGAAAAACAGGGCCTAAAACTTCAATATAATTATTTGAATTTCGGCGCCCTGTTCAGAGGACGGGAAAATAAATAATTATATTGAATGCTCTACTT